AGACTTGGTTTGTATTTCTTGTTGAATTAGCCCTTAAGGGTTTATGAGGAAGAGGTGGAGAATTTCTTGTTGAAGAGTGAAATATAATTCATTGCATTGGAATTTGTTTTAAGGTGAATTTTTTTTGAAGTGTGACCCAAATTCCATTGGGTATTGGTGTCTTAGTAGAAAAGGTCTTAAAGAAATCAAAATATTGACCAAGACATTTTTGGACAGAGACTACGCGCCCAAGTGCTACTAATTGGGCACCTAGGTGCCATTTAGATGTGGAAACAGAATTAATTTAGAAATACAATGCCTGAATGTTAGAGCGTTGCCCTGTCGCTCGCTGCCCACGAGCTTGGCGCTCAAGCACCGGAAGTGCCACTCACTGCATGCAAGGCGTCGTTCGAGCACCGTTGTTGTCCAACCTAAGATCTGTTTTGCAATCCCACGAATTTTAAGATGTTCATTCCATTTTAAATACTATAATTATGGATTGACATGTACTCTGTATATAGTGGATCTTCATTGTAATAGAGAACAAGCTGAAAATACAAAATCATTGTATTCTTTCATCATATAGTGAATTCTTTACCTCGGCTCGTGGTTTTTTCCCGTCTTGGGTTTACACGTAAAATCTTGTGTTTGTGTTTCTTTACTTTTATATCGCCATATTATCTCATTATTTTTTCATAACACATAGTGAGTTTGTTTGTGGGTTGAGCCATCAAAGTGGTTGGTGTTTGATTTTGTATTAAATTGAGCCTGATTTGTGCACGAATCAAGGTTTTTGGTGTAATTTCTGTGACATTTTACTTTCGATAGAAAACACTTATGAGTCACTCTACCCATTTTTCAAAGCGATGGTTCTTGATAGAATTCATATCGTCTACTCTACTAATTCTCAACACACCAAGATATTTGATCAATTAATTTTAGCTCCTCCATTTGTGAATCAAAGAACCATTAAATTCATGAAAAAATATATACAAAATATCAAAAATATTTAGATGAGCTATCCGATGAGAAAGTGAAATTTATATTTCGGCATGATCATGATAACAATTTCTTCGATAAGGACAAATCTTAAAATTGAACAATGAATCAATCAATATTACAAACGTCTAGTGCAAAGTCTTAATCCTTATACAATGATTGTAAATAAATTATTTATGATCAAAATACAAGATATGTCATAACGTGCTTCTCCAATCGATTATGGTGCTTACATTATGGCAAATGATATTATAAACTTTAATTTGCAAACTCAATATTAAATAATTATAATAAATTATTAAAATATTTATTTATTCTAAAATATTTCAGAACAACAAATATCCTATTTCAACACACAACCCATCAATAATTTGCTCCAATGCATGATAATACAACATGCTTACAGAGTGGAACCAAATTTGAAGTACCAAGTGGCTCCTAACGAGGTCCCCACGCAATGTTATGTAGTCGAACTGATTTCTCCACGTGAAATGCATTCCAATTCTTTTTCCTTTTTTTCCAATAATAATACCCTTTTATTGATCACATAGTCACTAGCTATCTATTTAAAGATCCTCTTAAGATTTTCCCTCTTTCCTCTTTGGTCCCAGCCTTACAAAAAAATTAAAAAATCACAGTTGCTACCGATTTTATGGTACACTTTCCCAGTTGGGTTCCTCGTAAACTGAGCCCACATTTTTCAACCGTTATTTCAAAACTCATTATTTTAAATATTAATTTTCAATCGTACATTCACACAATAAAATATTTTGCACGTAAACTCAAAACTATTTCCTACTTTTAATTCTATATTCTTTAAAAAATTTACTATTCAAAACTTTAGTTTTATCAAATAATGACAAACAGGGGCTTAAAGTTCTCATTTACAATTGCCATTCAAAAAATTGAATATATGGTGATATGGGAAAAGTGTCAACAGTAAAATGCATTGATTTGTCCCTTTTTTTAATCCTATGGTGCAAAGTTTACCAGCGCACCTGGGGCTTCTGTTTAAGGTGTCTATTTTAAAATAAAGTTGTTTGCATTTTTTAGATTTCTCTTTTCATGTTTCATGACATCGAAAGGAAGAGAAGTGTTGGCACTGTCTATCCACTTACAATTAGCGGTGGCAAAAAAGTTCGGAGGCTCGCACGACTCGAGCTTGGCTTGAAAAAAGCCCTATCAGAGCCTGGCTCGGTTGAGCCGAGCTGAGGCTCGGGCCGGCCCGTGTAAATTAAAAAAAAAAAAAATTCAAATTTTGATTTCAAATATCAGCTACCCCTACCTGCTCCTACAAAAAAAAAGAGTTATCTTAAAATAATACAATAGGATCGTCTTTTATAATTTAACACAAAAAAAAAAAAAAAAAATTATACATTTCAAATTAAAGCTGCCTGCTGTGCAGCCTCACGGGCAGCTACAATTTGTAGCTGTCCGCCTGTCCCAATGTAAATCTGATTCAAAAAATAGTGTTGCATGCACGTTAATTTTTTTCAAGAGTTGACTTGTCATAATTTAAATTTTTATGTTAAATATAGTTAAAACAGATATATTTTTTTGTCTATAAATACGAGAAAAGTTTTACAAATCCATATCAATCTTTCTAATTTCTTTATGTAATATTCAGTTTCAATATTATTTTCTCAAATTCTTTACACGATATTCAGTATTTTACTCTCCAATTTTCATTACTCTATTTTTCAATATTTTTTACTATAATACTTACACATGGATTTTATTAGTGATGAGATTAATCAGTTTAAAAGTAGTTCGAATACTCCATTTGGATACGATGCATCTCAAAATGCTCTAATTGATTTGGAGGATATCGAAGAGGATGAAGTAGTCGAGGTTAAAAAGTCGAAAGAAGAGTCTGCAGATTGTTGGCAACATATGACTCAGAAAAAAGTTGGGGTTCAAATTGGAGTCGATATTTGGAAAGCATGTTGCAATTATTGCGGTAAAGAACT